TTCACTGAAATGGAGTCCATGTTTTGATCACAACACAATATATACACTTGGAAACCCTTTTTGATACAGGACAATGTCATATATAGCTCGATTTAAGTCGATGTTTTTGATTTTTTTGGGGGGGTGGTTGGTGGTCCAAAAAAGGAAAGTGGCCAGCCAGAAACAGGTTCTAGGAGCCGAAACGGGTCAAGGTCGAGTCGTCAACTAGTTGGTTGAAGTTGTAGTCGTTGCCAGATGTTTCTTCACATCACCTCTCGGAACCACGAGATGTGAGGCCTTTTCCCGCTCGAGCTGATTCGGTTTTTGAGGCGCCATGGCGCCGGTGCCGAATCCCTAGGGCTCCAACTACCTCCTGAGAAGATAGTTGGGCTGGGTTTGGGAGGGTTCTAACCACCGAACCTGAGGATATGGGACAGGAGCCCTAGGGAATGATTCTCAGGGGGTCACCGATGGCACTAAACCCATCTCGATACTCTCAGCACCCGACCAAGACCCCTTCCCGAGTCCAAATCCCTTCCTTCGTGTGGCCAAGTCATTCAAATTCATCAATGGATTGAGGAAAATGTTGTCTCGATCGAGGGAACAAGTTACCCCAAAGCTTGGTGGTTTCTATGGACTCCCATCTAAAAATATCCCAAAGACATCTTGGGGTGCCTGCGCCATCTACTCTAAAGTGTACCGAAATTCCCTGATCCTCATCTCTGGCAGAGGGCCGCCGCCTGTCATCCCCGCCTCTGCCGGTGCCGCCAGCCGTGCCGGTGCCGCTCTCCGCTGCGAGGTGTGGAAGAGGCGCAGTGGCTAGAAGGACCTCCTTGGGTGACCCGTGAACGTTAGGAGATGAGTTGGATGGGGGTTGGGTTTTTGTGTTGATCTGAGAAGCCTTAGATCTATTGGCTATCCAAGGTCTTCAATGGTTTGAGAGTTAAGAGCCGTGGTTAGCAGCTTTTGATGCTGGAGATTCAGGAAATCCTTGTGGCTTTTAAGTGCTGTTCTTTGGGCATCTTCGACCAGTCTGGGATTCTGCTGTTATTTGAGTCCCACCCCAGTCAAGTCTATGCCAGTCAGCTTGGGCAGTCGTCATTCCCCGGTCCCACTCAGGAAAACATCTTCCAAGTCCAACTGCCCCGCGACCCACGGGCTACAGTAGGACGGTTGGACCTCTCGCATGTCTTGATCTAAGGGTTGGACGTCACAAACGTCAGGTTTTTGACCCCCTATCCTAGAGCAGCTGCCTTTTTGAAGAGGCTCTCCTTGGCATGGTCGAAACTATGTGGCTTCATAGTAGGCACCAGGACCCACCATCAGTCATCTGCATGTTTTGGAACCAAACATCTGAACTAGTCCACATATGTCCACATAGCCTTGTCACATGTCAAGTTGCTTTGGAACTACTGGGTCCACGATCGCCCGTTGCCTGGTGCCCGTTTCAGCGAAACTCAAACCTCCGACTTTCCAACCAAACAAGCTCACCTAACCTGGCGCTCGTCTTTCGACTTCCCAAGCTTCGTAGTTCAATGCCTCAATGGCCTCCTTCACCTGCTGCGCCAGTCGTCCTTCCACGGATGCGTCCATTGGTCGGAGCTCCAGGAGCAGCGAGGCGTTGTAGGGCGCACGACCCCCCTTGAGGTCCACCTGCACGGACAGCAGCTCCGAAATCTCCTGAGGATGCTTTCGAAAACTGAATCAGCGCGTCTTGGATGGCCCAGTTCCCCCCACGCCGCGTGGCGCAAGCCGCGCCGGCCACGCCGCGCCAGTTCCGAAAGGAACGAGTTTCGCTCAGGGGGTGACCGTTTGGGACCAAAAAGGAAGCAGCCCAGCCTATAAGGCTCCGTTCAGGGCGCCCGACTGGTCCCTCAAAATAGATGAGTTCCCAAAGGTGCCAGACCCTACTTTGGCTGTGAACGGGACCAGTCAGGCTGTGGTCAGGGTGACTGGACCCCTACTTTGGAGGGTCCAGGGTGGCGTCTGAGAGGATCGGGGTCCAGATCGTTTCTTCTGCGCCTCGTGGCGGAAGGATCTTGGGAGACCCTGACCCCGCGACTCGGTGGTGAACTTGGGGTTCCGCGGTCTTGGGATAAGATAACACCTAGGATCAAGATGACAGGGTGACATACTTAGATCTTCCAACATCTTCCAACTATGCAAAATGTCTGCCAGCCGCCATTTGAGGCAGAACTTTTGCACAGTTGGAAGATCTACAGTATACGTAGGGACTTACATTGGTATATTATAGGTATACAATGGTATACAATACCCTCATTCTCCAACAAAGGTGGAGTTTCCTCTTGAGCGGTCGGTAAGATGAACATCGGGAGGAAGAAGCTGAAGAAGATCCAGCAAATCAGATTTGCCTCCAAATGGGTGACTTTCACAACGAGAACTTGCGACCTAAAGAAACAACGCAGGTCTCTGACCTGAAGCTCTTCAGGTTCTACTCTATATGGGTGTGTATATCACTCGCGAGACCGGTAGACTGGTCTATTCTCCGAACGTCGAAACGCGCCATGGTTCGGTCTTCCATGCCTTGAGCTACACACCATGAGAGGCTCCAACTCCTAAAGGCTCACTCGGCTAACGATGGATGTGGCCTGATCACTCAGCCTTCGATGGTATCGATCTGCCAAGAATCCAAGTCTTGAATGGCTCCTGCCGGCCGAGATTTGGCGAATAGCTGGAGTATAGTGACTACTCAAGGACTAGCTTGACGTGAGGATGGCAGATGTAGCAACCAAAAAAAAAAACTTTCCACCACATGGGCCGGTGCAACGAAAAAGTACCCTGAACGAATACTACGCGTGTCCAAACCTTTGAGATCTTTCAGACCTTACTCGAGCCGAATTTGGGTGCTACAGAATTCTTGGCGCTTCGCGTTGGTTTCTGATCAGCCCCCGAACACTTCACCAGTACCGGTGACCGGTCATCCGGTGGCGGCCCAAATGCCACGTCCGGTCGAAGGTCCAGGTTTAGGGCAGGTGATCCCCAGACCTCAAGTTATCTGAAGACCATTGACCCGCAGAACTGGACTCCCAAGGCGGGCTCCTTCTACTTTCCGCACGCAGGACTTGCACACCATCCCTTTCACGTGAAAGGACAAAGACGAAGAGCTCTCTGGCCTCAGGAGAAAAAGCAAGAACAACATTTCGAGAAAGTGAAGTGGTATGAAGTGGTATGAATGATAATAGAAACAAGAAGCTAATTTAGGTGGAGGCCATCGCTAGGTTGGAGGCCATCGCTACTAGGGTGGAGGCCATCGCTCATCGCAACTGTAAGAAGCTACGGTTGCATGAAGTGGAATTTCATGGTTTTTCATCTCAAAATCCCAACAAGAAGCTACGAACGGCGGGCTCCTGGCCTTACTACGAACGGAGCGTTCACACGCTACGAACGGGGCTCCTGACATCGCTACGTCTTCTACTTCGCACCGAAGTCACGTGTTGGTCCTTTACCGTTGGACTGGTTCGTTACTCACGACAGGACTGTTGTTTGGGATCCGCCAGGACCGAACTCTCAGCACTTCAAATACCACCATCCCAAACTGCTGAAAATACACGCCTCCCAGCCCACTACACTGCGCACATCGATACACAGAAAACATGGTGTCCGTGGATGGCACCCCCTTTCCTGCGTGGGTGCCGGAATTCCTGCCGTCTTCCCTTTTCGGGACGCCATCCACGGACACCATGTGTTCTGTGCTTCTGAATGTCGGTGTTCCCCCCCACTCGGTCCGTCCGCTCAGTCCGCTGAGTTCACCAGGTCGTCGGCCGAGGGCGGGTTTTTCTTCGGGTCTCCCGAGGGCTCGTCGTTGTCTCGGGCATGAGCACCGCGCTGTTTGGTGTGTGTTTTGAGGGAAGCCCCGCCGGTGGGAGGACACCGTTTTGCCCTTTGGGGTCTGCTGAAAAAACGAGACCCTTTACAGATGTGGGAGGAATCCAAAGCAGGTCTTTTGGGGGGAGAAAGGCAAAAATGAATAAGGCAATGATGAGGACAACTGGGGAATCAACTGTTTGAACTCTTCGTGGACGTGGCGACCCGGTTTTTTCACTCAGACGTGTGGCCGACATCGGGGCTTACAGAAACCAGAAAACCAACGAAAGCGATCACAGAAAACAAGGACGAAGAAGAAGCGTCCAGGAGTTTCCATGACTGGACGATCCTGGAACTTGGCAACCTTGAGCAGAATTTTTTTGCACCGGGACAAATTCATCTGTCTCAGGCTTCCAAAATGGAAAGAACTCTGATTCGCGTTACCCTACAGCTCCAGCTACCTCCGTTTTGAGGGTGTTTGGGGTGGGTGACAGTGGTCCTTTGGAAGGGTCTGCCCCTACCTTCTGACGATGTGGGACTGGAGCCCAAGGGTGAAACATGTCGAGTTCGTGAAGCCCTTTGGAAGAACCCACCTATACAAACTGTTGTCATCCTCCAAATAGAACATGGGACAAATCCCCAATCCTCCGGTGGACATGTTCGACCCAAAACCTATGATGTCGATCCCTGTTTATGGACCACTTTCCAGCACCAAAACAGATAAATGCACATGTATATACCAGCACCTTCCAACAGGTCTCCGAAATGGAGGGTTGTTGGGCCCTAAGAGGTTTCAATTGGTGCCCTGTTGGAGGTGCTGGTATATTTCTATGGGTGGTGCAAAGCGTCAGCCTATCTACTTGACCAATCATCTTTAATCCATCCAGCTGGCTCTTCCAAGAGGGGCTTTGCCATCGTCTTCATCTCAGCCATGGCTGCCAAAGCACAGCAAGCTCGTGAGCTGATTCGCGTTTCTGGGGGCGGTTTGATCACTTCAGACTGCGGATGACTGCGGTTTCTGCGGTCCCACCACGACCCACCGACCGAACACATCAGAGAACACATGGTTATAGTGGATGATTCCAACCCCTGTTTGTAGAAAGTCGTCTTCCTTTCGGGAGCCATCCGTTTGATTTGCAGTTACTACTCGCACTACTACTCAGACTACTCACGGTGGGACGACCAGCTTGCGGGTCCTGCTATGACGACCTCGGTGTAGCCTTGTGCACGCAGCCACCGCAAGGTTGCCTCGTTCCGGAATGCGTCTGATCGGATCCGGATCGGCTCAACAGCGGTACACGGAGTGGCTTGTGGTTTGAGAAATCATCGCATCAAGCTCAGCCTTCCAAAATGACATGGTCACAGGAAATGTGTCACTTTCGCCGTCCATCGACCGGGCCCAGAAGAGTTCGAGGGTTTTCTGTCATCACCGTGCCCCAGGAGCCACAGGTCGCTCGGGGTGCCGGACACCCGAGTTCGGAGGAAGGAGTTGGGTGCCCCAAACAGTCACATCCACGGCGGATGGGACGAGCCGGTTTCCACCCAGGCCCTCCATGTGACTCCCAGGGTCATTAGCACTTGCTGTTTTAAAAGGACCATCCAGGACATTCCAGGAGCATTGATTCCAACAACTCGTATACATCCGCTTCTGTCAGCTGTATCTTCCTCTGGACTTGAGGAACACAACGATGTTTCACTGCCGTTCTGACAGCTCTCCCAGGCTTTCAAAAAAAAACACACTCTGCTTCCGCTCGCATTCACCTCCAGTTCCTCCTTCACCTGCTCAGGATGTGCCGGCAGCTTGTAGTTGAGCACTAAGATGGGTGGCACGCACGCCATCTGACTCCTGAGCCCCAAACACTCCATGTATGCGGAATGCCCAGTCTTTGCCGATGAAACGGGTTGGTTTGGGGGTCTCATGCGCATGGATCCAGTACTCTGGGAAACACAGTCCCGTTGGCAAGAGTTGGCCGGCAGTCTGGGAGGCGCCAAATCTCTGCGCTTCGCCATTCTCCCCCTCTTCACCCCACGGCACGACCTGTCTCGCCGCCGACCCTGCACTGGTCCGTCCATCTGAGCCACGCCAAGCGCGGCAAGAGGCGCGCCGCGAAGACGGACGCTGTGTGGTCTCGGGCCACGAAGCCACCCCCTCCGGTGGCGTTGAAGCGGGTCGAGGGTTTCTGTGAGACGCAGAGGGAGGAGAAGGCCAGGGTGCGAAGAAAGTGTTTTGATGTGTTTTGGGATGACCAAATCCAGTGACTCGGTCAGTGAAATCCTCCTTCTGTTCTTCTCTCCTCCTGCTCTCCTTCTGTCTCCTGTCCCTTCTCCTCTCGACCTCCTCTCTTGTCTTCTCCTTCTGTCCTCCTTTCCTTCTGTCCTCCTCTTCTCCAGTCCTCCTCATCCTCCTGTCCTCCTCTCCGCCTTTCCTCCTGTCCTCTTCTCCTGCCTTCTTTCCTCCTGTCCTTCTCTTCTCTGCCCCTCCTCCTGTCCTCCTGGGCTCCTGTCCTCCTGTCATCCTGGTCTTCTCTCCTGCAAATACCACACGGAATTTGATCAACAATTTGGGCGAATGGAGTGCCGAACGCAGCCCCCACCAAAAAGCAATTCGCTCCACGGACAGGCCACCAAACCCCACAGCCTAACAGTGTTGATGTTGCTTTTCTAAAGGCCTCAAAACAGCAAAATGCATGGGTGATAGCAAATCATGTGTTTAAGCAGCCATTCGAGCTTCGAAACGCCATGGCCGGCATCATGTTGCTTTTTTACATACGTTTCCGTTATCTGAAAAGCACAAAGACCGGCACACCCACCGTCCTTCCGCAAGAGTGTGAGAGAAGCAAGACAGGGACTAGGAAGAGTAAGAGATTGGCCCAGAAGCCTCTGAAACTCATTCTTCTCCAATCACACAACTGCCAGCCCTACAAACCGCCGGAATTAAATCAGGAACCGACGCAAACCGCGAACCAAACAGACACATTTACATAAGAAAGAAAAAAAAGAAACACCGAAACGAACCGAACGGCAGTGTGCCCAAACCGACACCGTGCCGGAACCGCCGAACCGTCTGCTCCACAAACCGAAACGAACCAGTTCCACCCTGGCACTGCCGCTACTTGGACATGTGCTGTTCAACCAGAAAACTTGTCCCGCCTGGAAGATACAGGATCACTTTGCCTCAGGGCCACCACAACCCTCGACGTCCCACAAGCTCGACAATTCGTCGAAACCGTTGTTGGTACGACCTTTTAGGGAAGAAAAATGAGATTCTATGATTGCTTGACATTCCGGAGCATCCCCTGACATCATTAGGAATCCCTGACCATCGATTCTCCCGCACGAACGAACTCGCTGGTGAAAAAAGCCGCGCTGGTGAAAGCATCCTCAGCACAGCAAAAAAGGCTCCCACATGGTCGATCCGGAACAAACTCCATGGTCGACACGGAGAGTGTAAGGGACAGAACGGAACGGATCGGAGAGTAGGGGACGTACCATATTCCAATCACAACATCTGTAGCTTAGAAAAACCATTTTAGGGGGGATTGATTGAAAAAGCTCTCGTTTTAGACCTTGACCTCAAGTGGAAAAAGATTGACGGACACCCCTGAAGCAACTTCCCAAAGCCACCCTCTACCTTGTCACCGCTGGGTCCCCTGGTCAGACGAAGCACTCATACTTCAGGCAGACAAAAGTTTACGCTTGTTAGCCTTCTTACAAAACAC